AAACCAGAATTGTCTTAAAGCATAGAAAAAGTAAAATTAAAGAAAAAATTGGAAAGACTTTGACCTTTGACCTTGAAAAAATATTCAAGGTCAAAAGTCAAGGGTCATAATGCAATTGACCCCATGCTTCTCTGACTTATAGTTTTCAAGTTATAAGGTTTAATAGTAAGTACAAAGAAGTTAAAGGGCAATAACTCATATAAGGGTCATGAGATCCTTTTGCACTTGTACAGTGAAGTTAGGCGTAAAGACCCTGAAGACATTTGTGAAGATTTGGTGACTCTACGGTCTATAGCTTCGGAGGAGTAGTGAAAAATAGGTTTTTCGCACAAGGGGCAATAACTTTTAAAAGGGTTAATGTTAGGGGACAAGAATGAAATCTTTGAAAAAGTTTTAAAAGTACATAGTAATGATGCATAGACATTAAGTATATGTTGAAAGACAAAAGAGATATAAAAACAGCTAAATTTCTCATTTTTCGAATGACCTTGACCTTTGACCTTTACATGAATTTTAAGGTCAAAGGTCAATGAATCTTATGCAGTTAGTCCCATGTCTCTACGACTTCTCATTTTGAAAATTTTTAATTATTTGTAAAATTCAAAAAGTTTCAGGGGCAATAACTCATTGAAGGGGTCATGAATACTTTTGCAATGAAGGATTTAAGGTTTTTTTAATTAGTCGAAGACATTGGTGAAGGTTTCATTCCTCTACGATTTACGGTTTTGGAGGAGTAGCAATAACAAACATTTTTGCGAAAGGGGCGATAAATCTGAAAGGGGTCAAAGCTCATATACGCAGGGTCAAACAAAAAAATCATTTAAGGAGTACATTCTTATGAACTTTAAATCTCTTCAATAACTTGTGAAACAAAAAACCATTCGGCGGAAAAATAATAAAAATAACTAGGAGACTTATTGTTCACAGAACAATAAGAGGTCTTTCCACCTTCTTTGAACTCTGTTTTATATCTGACTCCTTAAAAATTAAATTCCATGAAAAAGAAACCAAAACTCTCTTAAAGCATAGAAAAAATGAAAATTTAAAAAAAAAAAAAAGAATGACCTTGACTTTGACCTTGAAAAAATATTCAAGGTCAAAGGTCAAGGGTAACAATGCAATTGACCCCATGCTTCTACCACTTATTGTTTTCAAGTTATAAGGTTTAATAGTAAGTACAAAGAAGTTAAAGGGCAATAACTCATTTAAGGGGTCATCAGATTCTTTTGCACATATACAATGAAGTTAGGTCTAAAGACCCTTAAGACATTAGTGAAGGTTTGGTGTCTGTAGGGTATACAGTTTCGGAGGAGAAGCGATAACAAGGTTTTTCGCACAAGGGGCAATAACTTTTAAAAGGTTTAATCTTAGGGGACAAGAATGAAATCTTTGAAACAGTTTTAAGAGTACATATCACTGATGGATAGACATTAAGTATACGTTGAAAGACAAAAGAGATACAAAAAGAGCTAATTTTCTCATTTTGGGAATGACCTTGACCTTTGACCTTTACATGAATTTGAAGGTCAAAGGTCAATAAATCTTATGCAGTTGGTCCCATGTCTCTAGGACTTCTTGTTTTGAAAATTTTTAATTATTTGTAAAATTCAAAAAGTTTCAGGGGCAATAACTCACTGAAGGGGTCAATGAATACTTTCGCAATGAATCATTGGAGTGTCTACTAAATTAGTCAAAGACAATAGTGAAGGTTTCATTTCTCTACGGTTTATGGTTTCGGAGGAGTAGCGATAACAAGCTTTCTTGCGAAAGGGGTAATAACTCCGAAAAGGATCAAAGTTCATATACGCAGGGTCAACTGCGAAAATCTTTTATGAAGTACATTCTTATGAACTAAAAATCTTTTCGATAAATCTTATAACTCAAAATCACACGGCGGAAAAATAATAAAAAATAACTAGGAGACTTATTGTTCACAGAACAATAAGAGGTCTTTCCACCTTCTTTGAATTTTAAATTTGTTTTATATCGGACTACTAAAAATTAAATTGCAAGAAAAAGAAACCAAAACTCCATTAAAGCATAGAAAAAATGAAAATTAAAAAAAAATAAGAATGACCTTGACCTTTGACCTTGAAAAAATATTCAAGATCAAAGGTCAAGGGTCACAATGCAGTTGTCCCCATGCTTCTATGATTTATAGTTTTCAAGTCATAAGGTTTAATAGTAAGTACAAAAAACTTAAAGGGCAATAACTCATATTAAGGGTCATCAGATCCTTTTGTACTTATACAGTGAAGTAAGGCCTAAAGATTCTTAAGACATTAGTGAAGGTTTGGTGTCTCTACAGTCTACGGTTTTGGAGGAGTAGCGATAACAAGGATTTCCGCACAAGGGGCAATAACTTTTAGAAGGGTTAATCTTAGGGGACAAGAGTGAAATCTTTGAAACAGTTTTAAGAGTACATATTAATGATGCATCGACATTAAGTATATGTTTAAACACAAAAGAGATATAAAAAGAGCTAAATTTCTCATATTTGGAATGACCTTGACCTTTGACCTTTACATGAATTTGAAGGTCAAAGGTCAATAAATCATATGCAGTTGGTCCCATGTCTCTACGACTTGTTGTTTTGAAAATTTTTAATTTTTTGTTAAATTCAAAAAGTTTCAGGGGCAATAACTCATTGAAGGGGTCACCAAATGCTTTTGCAATGAATAGATTGAAGAGTCCCCTTAATTAGTCGAAGACATTGGTGAAGGTTTCATACCTCTACGGTTGATGGTTTCTGAGGAGTAGCGATAACAAGCATTTCTTGCGAAAGGGGCAATAACTTTGGAAATGCTGAAGGTTCATTTACGCAGGGTCAACTGCAAAAATCTTTTATGGAGTACATTCTTATGGACTATAAATCTCTTCGATATATCTTGAAACTCAAAATCACACGGCGGAAAAATAAGAAGAATAAGAAACAGAAGAATACCAATAGGTCTTTCCACGGAAAGGTGGAAAGACCTAATAAAAAAAAGAAACAGAAGAAAATCAATAGGTCTTTCCACAGAAAGGTGGAAAGACCTAATAATAATAAACAGAACAATTTCAATAGGTCTTTCCACGGAAAGGTGGAAAGACCTAATTATTACATTGTAAGCACTCGGCTTAACTAACAGAGTTGATTTTGTGAAATGTTGGATTGAAATTTTATCCTTTTCCTTATTCCTTTTTATATCACCCTCTATGATCTCATAGGCATTCCTATTTATCATCTTATACATGTATTCCCTTCTTTGTTACTGTCATATTGTTATTTGTGGGTTTAAGTCTAACTATCATTACAGTAATCATGGTAATTCAAAAAATTGCACATTATCTTATTAGCGACTGATATCTATTGCTATACTATTCAGTATAAGACAGAAGACAGAAATATCCCCATTCCCCATCTGATATAGACCCCTTGGTCTGTTCGATGTATGTTTTTCTCATTTATTATACATATTGTATATACCGTAGATGAGAAATATGTAATTTTATCATCAATTTGGAAATTGGCTCTAGCAAACATATAACAAGAGGCCCAAAAGGTTCGAAAATGGTTATGTACTATGTACAAGTATATAAGCAAACGATAATGACTTTCGACAAAAGAGAACCATTTATTTGTTATTCTGTATTTTTTCAACTTCCAGAGAATCGAACCCAGGACACCTGTCAGTCTAATGACATGTGCAGCAATACACTACATTGTATACCCAAAGCACTACAAATGATAGCTAAAGATTATTGTACATGTGCACTAGCTTTAAAACAATTTTTTCCAAATTTTCAGCATATATGTCACATATTATGTGTATTAAGGAATTTTTTTGTCAATGTATCAATGTCCTTTCCTACTTAAATGAAATATTCTGGGTTTTTTTTTATCAATAATTATTTTATGTTTCAGTGCAAGGATATACCAAATAACAGAGCATTAATATTTGTGCAGTACCTGTTTTATGTATGATTGTAAAAAAAAAAAAAAGTTTTCCATAATTATTTTTCAAAATCCTGAGTCAATCCCCAGGGGACGATATTTTAATTCAAACAATCGAGAAGAGAAAAACGACATATAAAAATCGGAATATTGAAGCAAAGTAGTTAGGTACCTGAATACTTTCAGAGACGTACGTGGTTCGAAAATGGTTATGTACTAAGCCTATGTACAGACATGTAAGCAAACGATAATGATTTTCGACAAGAGAACCATTTATTTGTTACTCTGTATTTCTTCAACTTACAGAGACAAAAAACGACCCGATTGTCGAAGTCTTTTAGTTATCTTGTACTCGAGACAATGAATCTTCCATGCCATCTTTGTTGTACTTTCGGTTTGACGAATCATCTAAATTTAAACTCTCCTTCGATCATGCATCCCGGAAAATAACTGAACATCGTATATTTATGCCTTTTATTTGGAAATTGATGTACCTTTTTTTTACGGTAGGCCTAAGTGAAATCGACGTCAGGCATTTTTGATATAATAAGCCTCGCGCGCGTTTGACGTAATAACGGCACAAACGAGAATAACGTCACATAACGTTATTTTACGTGGTATGGATCTCTACCTTAAGTATATGTTGCGTCACAGTTCCACAAGTTGTAAAGAGTTAATCTCTTACTGTTATCAATTCTTTCTTTGATCGGGATAGGGATTAACTTCACTCAAAAAGGAATTTTTGATTAAAAGGTCAATATTTAGCGGTCATTATTATAGAAAATATTTAATTCTGAAACACCAAAAGAATAATACATTTTTAATGTAATGCAGAAATGCTTTTAAATTCCCAAATATTTTAAATTACATATGATGCATCAATAATATTGCAGTTTTAAAATATCGATATTTTTTTTCGCTATTCAATGAAACCATCTCATTCTATCTTCATTAAAATGCTCTGGCATGCAAACTCAGAAAAAGTCGGATTGATAATCAAGAAAAAAAAAATGATACAGAAAAATGAAATTTTAAATAGCAACATTGTATAATTGTCTTTCAGTAATGAGACAAAAAGGTCGTTTTGCCGGTTTTTCTCTTTATATATCCAACACGCCTAAAAAAGAGGACGGTCGTCTTTGTTACCAGAACAAACTACCATTACCTCCCTTGAAATTTAATAATACGTGTATAGAATATGGTCGTTACGTCATCTATTACAATGAAAGACTGGACGGAGTTACCTACCCTGAAGGATATCAATATCAAATATATACACAGTTATGTGAAGTCGAAGTGAGAGGTTTGTTGCATTTATCATTCAAAAATTTGCATCACACAGATATGAAATTGTCAGTTTTTATGGCAATCATTACAATATATTTACATTCAGTGTAAGTTTTTTAAAGAAATTCATTAGAAATCTACGACGTCACTTATCACTTATCTTTCTTGTAGGATGTACCAATGCAGGAGTTTATGGGAGTAACTGTAATTTACCTTGTCCGGACAATTGTCAAGAAAAGAGATGTAATATTGTAAATGGAACGTGTTTGGGGTGTATTCCTGGATGGACAGGAGACATGTGTAATAAAAGTACGATTAATTCCATTAAGTTAAGAGTTGATATTTACATAAAAGGCTATTTCCTTTTCTTCAGATTATCTTATGATTGTTGTGCCGTTTGTTTCTTCCAAAGAATGCCCATGGGGATGGTATGGCCTTGCGTGTAAAAACAAGTGTGCAGGACATTGCATAGGGAATCAACCCTGTAATCACGTGACGGGTCGATGTGAAGGTGGTTGTGCAGATGGGTGGATGGGGAAATTATGTGATAAACGTAAATACTAGTAATCATAAACATTTATCTTAAAATTAATTTTTTTAAAAAAGTAATTCTACTAGAAGTGTGCGCATTTTGACAATTACATATTTTATGTTGAAGATAATTAAATACCGTACGATATCATATGCCTGATCTTTTCTACAAAAAAAGTATCAATAGGTAAATAGGTAAATGCAAATTAAAATAATCAAATAAGCTAGACTTGAAATGTGAAGTTTCATATAACCAGACAATTATAATCGTGAAAAATCTGTCCAAGACACCACAATAAAATAATTGTTAAAGTTTCTCATTAAAATTTTCTAGGCAGGTTCCATAACGCTTGATTTTCTATTTTGATTAATGATTTCAAAATTTACGTTCCGAGTTTTCAGGAAAAAACTGTTGCCGAATACATCCCATAACTTTTTCACACCCAACAAAAATCCGTTGTCATAATCAACTCTTAACTGACATTTACAAAAGAATGCTTTGCTTCATATTTTCTGATCTATTGCTCTAATATTGATTTTATATAATACCTTTGCCAAAGTTTCAAAATATTACTGTATTTAATAATCTGCCGAGAAAAGAAAAAGGAAAAACAGTTTAAATGTTAAAATATACTTTACCTAAATAATTGGCCTTGGTTTACTTACAATTTACAGCATGTAAAGACGGCTTTTACAGCCCAGACTGTATCCATAGCTGCAGTGGTCACTGTCTGAATAACACCTACTGTAGCAGAGAAACTGGTCACTGTGACAACGGTTGTAGCCCAGGATATACAGGGAAGTTTTGCAATAAACGTAAGTAAATATTTAATATAATTATGTATGTGTTTGTGTTCAGAATTGCACCCTTTGATAAAGAAAAAAACCACGTTTTTTAAATAGCATGTACTCCTGGATTCTTTGGAAACAATTGTTATAGACAGTGCAGTGAAAATTGCAAGAATAATAGATGCGACCATACGGATGGAACTTGTATAGAAGGGTGTTTAGATGGCTTTGTTGGAAGAATGTGTTACAACAGTAAGAATTAACATGGTTTAATGTTAATTTCATGAGTTCACATATTTAGTACATTGTACATTAAGCTAATATTAATAGAACTATGAAAAGGTTTCTTATCTTGCTTTCAGTATGCAAAGAGGGATATTTTGGTACACACTGTTCTAATATCTGTTCTTGCAACAATTCCTGTCAACATATTGACGGCTCTTGTAATCGAGGTCAGTTATAAGTTTTTCACTTATCTGTACATGTTATCCTATAAATTTAATTTTTGCATTTCTTTGGACATTTTTTCCCTTTTTATAATTAAAATCCTACATGTACAAAAGTGCTTTAAAAATCTTTTATTCAGTTTCCAGTTTAACGGAGACATTTTGATCAGGCTGTATGTTAATGAATAGGAATACATTGTACAGTTTTACCTACATTAAGCATTTTAAAGTGTACAGAAAATACTATATGAAAAAAAAAATGCTATAGTAATATAACTGGCGAGTTGGTTTTCTTGTATCCAAACTGAAATATATAGAGCATATTCGTGTAATATGATTTGCCTAACTGTATTCTAAAATAAATAATATTTTAAAAACACTCTTTGATGATCTGTATTTTCCTTTTTTAGATGAAGAGAACGTTGTTAAGTTGGAAACTGAATCAACTAATGCTTCAACTATTGGCGGTGTCTTAGGAGCGTTCGTAGTCATTCTTGTTCTTGTTCTTCTAGCAGTCCTTTTTATGAGGTAAACTAAAATATTTATCCTTTGTTTAGCATTAATCTTATTATCTTTTGTTAATTGTTATAATTGACTGAATATCTCATAAGTTTATGTAAATTGTTGAACGATTTTACAAAAGTGAGCTATAATTTAAGAGGGTTGTCCTAAAATGTGGAAGACAATGTTTATAACTTTTTAAACATGCAACTAATATTAACCAAATTTTGCATAGACTAAACATATTCAATGTTCTTAAAAATTGTAAATTCTTAAAATTATATCTTTCATATTAATATTATTAGGACGATTTGTATCAAGGCCGATATGGTCTGTCGGTGCATGAACAAAATTCGGAATAATTTACGCATATAACCATTACATTTGTTTTTATTTCTTTAGTAAGTATGCAAAACAGTGAACTCAAATTTGAATCAGTGAAACCAGAATCAAAATCTTAATAATATGTCAAAATTTCATATAAATAGAAACAGACGATTGGTGTAATGCTTCTCAAAGTGTTGTTGGAATTCAATTTGATGGAAATGACGTCATCAAACGCGTAACCGGCGCACGGAGATGTATAAATTGTTTTGGATATGGTTTATAAATTGTATTCATCAGATACGGGAAAACGAGTACAGAAGTGACATTACATACTAGATTTTAATAGAGAAGTTATTTTTAAATGGTATGAAAATCGATGAGGGTTTTTCCTGTATACCGAATATAGTTACAGCATGAAAGAAGTAGGGTACCCCTGTTTGTTAAACGTTGACAATGGGAAACGATCTGGGCCATGCACGAACGACGTCAAACAATGTCAATTCTCTGCTGCTTAATATGTAATGCGATCTTTCGACTAAATTTCGACTGAAATTTGAATATGCTTAAAAAAAAAAAAAAAGGGAAAGTAATGAATTGAAATAAGTCCCTTGGTCAAGAGTGGTCTTTCACTTTAAAAAAAACATATTAAATGTTAATAGACGCGTGTGAAGCGGAAAGAGAGATCATGACGTTAAAAGAAACGTAAATAACGTTTGCTTTCATGCGCCGATGTACACTTATATGCTTTCTTTATTTTTACATAATTTTCTTATTAAATGTGATATCATCATGAAACTTGAAATGCATGATCATAAAATGTTACTTTTTGTTATGACAAGGAAAGAAATTTAATTTTGCAAAGGGAAACTAAACTGTTTTCCCTGTCTACGACTTTTTGGGACAACCCTCGTACAAAGTACTGTAGCCTAGTGAATTTCGTCATTGGTGTATTATATTGATTATTTTGTTATTAGTGCCATCAGTATTTTAACGTAGGTTCAAGAAGAGAGCATTAGTGGAATTTTTTGAAAAGTCTAAGAAGGAAACGGATTTGCCAATGGAATTGAAAGAGGGAAAATCTTCGACAATTGGTAATCATATACAAAATACGTATATTTTATTTAAAATCATCAACTCATTTCCTTGAAAAAATGGCATAAATAATATAGGTTAATAATGTTGAATAAAACATGGAACTGAAGTAACTTCACAACTTAAATCTAATATTTTTAATGATGATCGAATATATTGTCACCCCTGTATACTTTGATTTTCTTTTGAATACTTCTGTCTATTGCATTTTAAAAGAGTGTCTTTTTTCCGTATGTGTTTTATATTATGAAAAAGAAGCAAACATGTTCGTTGATTTTATGCATACATGAGAGTAATCTGCATATAGAATTCGTAGACCAGTGTCAGTGACTACCATGCAAATTTTGTACAATTTCAATTTGAAATACACTATATATACAAAATTAAAATGTGGATTTTTTAGCAAATACTTAGAAGAATTGTACAAAAAAATGTTAAAGAAAAACATATGTATTTAATTTGAATTCTTTATTTGTAAGTTTGAATATCATATGAATTCGAGGTTTTGTTTGAAAAAAATGATATAACAAGTAAATTTTTATAAGTAGCTGACTAAAGTTGTATTTTTCTCTTTGCAAAATGAAGATAAAGGCACTTCGTGCCGATGGCGAAACGACTGTTTATTGTCTTGAATGTATCAGAAATAAAAAAAAGGTTTTTCAACAGTGTAATCAATAATCTATTAGCTTTCGGCGATTTAAAGGATGAACACAACGAAAGTATCAGAAATCGGACAAGCGTTTTGCGAGAAACTGCGAAAAAAGGTCCCCCGACGAACAAAACTATTCCAGTGAGAAATTTGATGGCCATTATAGTCAAGATGTCTGCTGCTGAAAACGCTGGATTCAAACATGAGTATCATGTATAATTTTAAACATTGTTCAAATACATGTACATTTACAATCATGAATCCATTTTCATTTAATACTTAGAAATTTTAGTAACTTTACAAAATGTCCTGTCAAATCATTTTAAAATTCAGACCATAAATATCATATTCTTAATTTTTGCATGTTTATCTCGCATCTGTTCTGGTTCATTTCTAGTGAAGTTTTACAAAACGTTTATTAATGGTTAATGAAATTGATATTTTGAATCAAATTCATGAATTTTTCGAGAAAAATTCCATTTTTATGTATACTTATAAAATGTCCTTTGCTCTATCCATATTAAGTTCATCTGAAATGGTCATGATGTTTGACGTTGGCTTTCCAGCTTATTTTCATAATTAGTTAGACAGATTCTGATATCATTCTTGTAAAAGAAAAAAAAATCATCTTTTCACAAAGGTTTAAAATAAAAATGAACTTTTTTATGCGATGTTTTCAACAAATTTATCAGTATATCAATTAATATGAAAATTTAATATCTTTTTTTCTCTTGAAAGGAAATACCAAAAGGGGAACTTTATCCCTGCGAAGAGGCAAAGAAGCCGGAAAATAAAGCAAAAAATAGATACACGTCAACATTCCCCTGTAAGTGTTTTTTTTTTATTTCATTAAAAGTAACAATATTATTGAAAACTCAGTATCTTCCATGAAAACTACTTTGCAATCTAAGAATACTTTAAAAAGGTTTATATTAAATAGACGACCACTCGAGAGTTGTTCTAAAGAAGACACATGAAGGAGATTATATCAATGCAAATTACATCGAGGCAAGTATTCTGATGCTGCAATCTACCTGACCTTTATATGAAAAATATTGCAATTAAAATTTATTCAAGTTTTGCATGTAAATGTACACATAGTAATTGTGTTCTTCTAACAACTGAGACCTCAAATTTAAATCCATTAAAAGCGATTAAATTACTGTAGATCAGATGAACAAAATAAATCTAAAGCTACTGCTGCGTAATATGCATTGTTTATATAACTGTTATAGTTTTCCCATTTGTTCGTTTGATAAAATGCAGTTGCGTTCGCTTTATACGTGTATTTATATGTAATTATTTTAAAAGTTTTAACTATCTTTACATATTTTTTTCTATCTAAATGTTCTGATGACAGAATGTACATGAACAACGAAACTACATTGCAACTCAAGGTACGTGGATATATAAACATTTAAGCAGCTTACATGGTTTTGTTATCATATTTAAAAACTAAAATTCAAAAGGTTAGAATAAAGTACCGGGATCGATCTCTAAGCTAAAAAAATACAAATCAATAGTAATGAGACCATAAAACATATCGTTGGCGATCCCAGAGGTAAATCGGGTGCCGGGGGGGGGGGGGTAAATATTCCCAACAGAACGGTCGCACCCACTTGAGTTCTATATATTGATAAGTTAGAACGTTCCGTTGTGAAATTTAATATAAAAACAAAAGACCTTACAATTGTTTTGAAACAAGTGAGCAGATGTACCTGGATTTTCCTAAAGAATTTTAAAAATTTCGATATTAAACGAGGCAGTTGGAATTCCCTGATATAATTTGGTTAAATCTTTCTTTAGACATTATGAATTAATATCGTTTTAGGTCCTAAACCAAAGACTATTGCTGATTTCTGGCAGATGATATGGCAGGAAAATGTATCCGTCATTGTTTGCCTGACCAACCTTAAAGAAGGAGGAAAGGTTCGTTTTACATTCTAAATGCTATTGCTTTACATACATATATTACTTTTTTGTTTTATATCCGCTTTGGTAATATGTAATAATAATAATCTTGTAAAACTGCAGTGATGGAGAGAAAACCTTCTTGCGTTACAATATCATTTATGAAAGAAATTGTCGGTCCTTTGACTGAGACTGTATTAACCGAGGTCCCGTGTTGCGGTACATAGGTGTTGGAACGAATAAGATCCCTTGCTGTGCAATGTCTTTGAGTGCTGAGTATTTATGAAGATTTGCAGCTTTCCGCCTGCAAATGTAGGCGTCTCCGTATGAGTGAAACTTTCTCGAGATGGCGTTCAAAAACAAACAAACAAATTAAAGAAATTGGATGTTTTCCAGTTATGATAAATTAAATTCATCTAAAAAACCCAGATGTTTTGAAGAACGAAAAAAATGTATCTCTTGCTACCAATTCACATTGGATATCATTAATCTAACTAATTGTCCAAATGTAAAATCAATATCTTGCTTAAATT